ACTCGATACTCCATTGACCATTTCGTGTGTTGGTCTTTATGGCGTCGGCGCCGGCCTTGTTTTGAAGCGTCTTGACCATGTTGCACTTCTTGTTGGCGGTTTTGCGCTAGTTTCGTCAGCTGGTATGATTGAGACATGCTGGGAAGCGGAGGAAGACTTACCACCTGCTCTTTGTGAGGTGCGGCAGCGACTCTCTCGACCCACGAGATCTGCCCCAGAGACTGCAGAATGAGCTTATGAGCCTGCGTGATTACAAGTTAGCATATTGTAGTGGAACTAAAAATTAGCCGACCTTACCCTCAGAGCCTCGCAGATGGAGTTCCACCTTGCCTCGAAGGAGGCGAACCTGTCCTTCATGAGTTCCGTCTGCCACCGGGCCACTTTGTGCAGGCCCTCTTGGGCACGGATTGCAGCCTCCTGTGAATGGAAGTCAGTTCGAGCTAGCACCACGGTTGATTTTGAGTAAGTTGAGTAGTGACATACCAGAACCTCCCAGCAGAGAACCTCAATGTCTAGGTCGGACAGCATGCGACCGATCAATCCCTCGATCTTCTCCGTATTGGTGAGGCCGTGAGAACCGAGGATATCGCCGATGCGACGTTTGTTTCGAGGCCTTAGTGCAGCAGCGACGGCATTGCCAGAGGCAGCTGCGGGTTCTCCATCTTGACCAGGGTCGGTGTTGACATCATCAGCGGCTTCGATGGAGCTTCTCATGTCCATGATGGCTTCGAACAATTGCTGAACACACCTCCGTTGGGCAGGAGCATCCTGCCTGATCTCAAGGTCCTCGTGGGCAAGGCCTGATGCCCCATTAGAGAACGCGTAATATACGTCCTTGAGCCCCTCGAAGTGTTCAAGACTTCCAACATAACCTTGGCATTGCCCGGTCATTGGAATTTGAGCACGAGTCTCAATGAACTCTGCTGGGGGTTGGTTAGGTGGAGCAAGCACTTGCACCCGAGCCACGTCCGGAGCCGAGGCCACGTCGTAGACATCCCCATGGCTGCCCTGTAAGTTATCACCGGTCAAGAGGGGGTCAATCATCTCTTCGTGGAAAGAGTTGGGATCGGTGACATGTATGGCAAGAAGTCGATTCAGCATGAGGCCAGTCTCCGGATGTCCAAGCCCGAATACATAGCAGTGTTTGGCAAACAACACCGCCAGCTTCCAAGCATCAGAGCGATTCTTGAGCTTTTCTTCAAGGTCTACCAGAATCTCTTCGGAGGTCGGGTAGTAATTCTTTTTCTTCTGGAAGAGTTTGATGGACTCTTTGAAGGTCGGGTCAGTAGAAGTCACGATGGGTTTTGAAGAAGCAACTTACCAAGCATGAGACTCATCCGTTGTGATTCTTCATCGTGCTTCATCAAGACTGGTTGAGCCTCCGATTCGAACGTTCGAAGAATCTCGGTCTGTATCTCAGCTTTGAGAGCTCCAGGTTGAGTCTCTCCGACCGGGCTGCCCTGTGATGGTGTTGGGTCTGTGTTCTAGACAGCCCGCACATCATCAGCATCAGCAAGAGACTCCGTTTCTTGGAAGATATCGTCTTCTTCGTAGACGCTGAGCCCAAGCATAACAGGAGGATCGGAAATATTGGCCGTCGTGAGACATTGCTGAGGCAAGCTAACCCAGGCTCTGGGGTCTTCTGCAAGAGGCAACGATGAAAAGCTCAATGATTAAGTGATTAATGCTTGCGTATATGCAGCAAGCAATATTAGTGATTTTGTTGATGCAACAAGGCAAAGCCAGAAAGAGTTTGATGATTAGGGCTGGTTGTGGATGGAGGAAGAGTTCTTTGGTGTGTGGTTGTAAAGCGAAGGAACAGGGAAAGCCTGACAGCAACGAAACTTTGCTTATGGCCATGGCCCACCTTACGCGTAGACTGTGTGTGGAAGACGGCCTCAGGCCATCGACCGCATAATGTCAACAAGCCCTATGCGTGCAGGCCGGCAATCCTCATAGTGACGTGTCGGCAACTTGGCACTGAGGCCGCCGACAATAACAACCTTGAACGGTATTGCACAGCTATTGTTGCTAGCGTATACGAATGTGTTCTCTGTTCATAGCTGGAAGCGGGGAGGGCTCTCGTCCAAGAACATTCATATTGTTCACAGCAACAGGCGTCTTATTCCACATAGTTTGTCTTCCGCGAAGGGGGATGTGTAGCATTGGTCCTCTTCATCTCTTGCGACGGATTCAAAGTCTATGAAGCTCTTAATGAAGACGGCTGCGAATCATATTCTGGCGAACTGCTTGCTGAATTCTGATTGCGGGTGTCAATATTGGAACTATTGAAGGAGTTTTATGCTCAAGCTGTTTGCCACGCCACGGTATTTGTCAATAGCCACTTCCCACTCGCTATAGAGAAGTACAGAATATGGCGTCTTCTCAGTCATGCAGGTTTTGCTGGAGGTCTACGCCGATCATCACAAATGGTTTTCGGATGTCCTAACAATTGCCCGTCCAGTGGTTCGCGCATCACCCACGGTGTCAAACCCAAGAACTGCGTAAGAAACCTTGCAGCGTGCTGCAGCAAAGATCAGGTATCCTAAAGCATGCTTAAAGGAGTCTAATATATTAATGGGCAGTTGTACCTTATTCTACCTAAGGCTACGAGCAGCTTTTCCCGACTGCGAGACCTACAAGCAGCAACTTTCGCCGCCACTCCCGAGCAGCAACGGATCAGTCGTCAATAATCCTTCTGCTCTGTGTACTTCTGCCATGATCGCTTTCTCCTCGCAAACATCATCACAACGAGAACGTAATTCCAACAGCTAAAACAACGGTCGCTCGCAGTGGTTGCCTCAGCCGCAGAATGCTAGCAATCATAGCCACTTAGAATTGCAAGGACATCCAATGATCCCCCTTACTCCTCTCCTCGCTCTTCGAAAGAAACCTATCTAGTCTGCTAACGTGCAAACCTACTCAAGAAAACAGCATCGCAGAACCTTTCCCATCCGACAAGATCAGACTGTCGAACATGATCAGCCAGCTGCCCAAAGTCCCTCTTACTCAGAGCACATGGAACAAGCAAGACCGACAAAAGAGGCTTCGCATTCGTCATGGTGCAATCGTGATCTAGGTTTTGGCCCTCGTGAGGGGGGTTGATGGCTTGCTCTGTGTACAACCCTTTAATATACCCCAGCCGGCTTTATTTACTACACACAAGAGCTTTTGCTTGTAGCACTAGCAGGTGCAGACGAGGGCACTAACATGTCACGGTAAGACCGATCATATAGCCAGGCGGGACGCTCTCAGCACTGCAGATAGCGAAGACGCCAGGACTCGACTACCACAGCAGAAACACCGTCAACACACAGGCACGACAGCAAGACATGGACCCCCCCGGTCCATGATTACAGCTAACCAACACACCAAACCTAGAGGCGCTAACGCCACAGGCAACGAATCAACCAAATCACCTTCCAGCAGGGTAACCAGTCCCCCCCCCCCCGGAATGACTCGAGATGAACCCCATAAACTAACGGACAATCTGAGTATGGCATCCTCGACGGATATTGAAGCGCGGCGTCGCGCCCGCCTGTTTGCCAACATGAAATATATAGTGGCTTTAAATATATCGTCTTTAGCATCATGCTCCAGACGGCCGCCACCCTCATGGACGACGAGATTGCCATGCCTGTCCCAGTTGCAGAGGCACACACGCGTCTCGTGTCCTGCTGTGAGATGGATCCACCACGGCGCCGTCATTCATCGCGTACGAACGCGAGAGCTTGTCCACCAGCCTCTCTGCCTCGAAAAACGCGAAATTTCCCCTTCTCCCACCGAGCCGGGACCGAGACTGTCGGGAGTTCCCCCCATCGCCGAGTAACGTCAGCGCCTATTTGTATATTCGGAGGAAACCTGTCTTGCGCGATCGGTACACTCCACGTCTTGCAAGGTGCGGACCCATACTAGAAGATGTCGTACCGTGAGCCTCTTGTATGACGGGGCGGGAGCGGGGGTACCATGGGGACCGCGCATTATCGGCGCGTCGAGAACCCATTTCCACTCTTCTTGACCCAGTTTAAGGCAGCAAGGCGGCACATAACACCATGGGAAGGCGACCTTGTATCGTTCGAGATAGATGGGATCAGTGCTTGATTTGGAGCAGAGTGAAGAGGTCTTCCACACGTGGTCCGCAGGCAATAGATTATCGGTATGGTGTCGGAGTACATCTTGATACTGGCTCTCCGCAGTCCTTATATATAAGCTCTCGTAGCCCTCAGCTCCTGACTATCCCCCCTGTGACATGGCTCCGCACGGGTCTCCTTACAGATGGGGGAGTTTGATGAACAGCAGGTATCGCAGAACGATCTCTACGTTGAAAATCGGATTGCCTCGGAGTTATGCACGGAGGAAAGGCCATTGCTACTTCGGTGTGGCTTCGTCTGGGCGGCCTGGATTTCAACACAAGAGCGTCGTGGCGCTCGAAAGTACCTTTGTTCGACGACTTCGTAGCGGTGAAGATGGGCTGTTGCTCTGATGGGTACCAGAACTGACGCGAAGGCTGGCGATTATACGTTTTTGTTGATCAGCTTCAAAAGGACGTCGCCGAGTTGATGGTTTGTGAAACTAGTCACGGGGATGCTTGCAATGATTTGATGCGGGAGCCATATTACCTCACTGTATGGCGGCTTGCCATTGAGCTGTGGCCGATACGCGATGACGCAACAGAGGGCCTGGTTTACCCAGAGCGACTGTTATTTACGTTCTTCGTGACCATGTTCTTTGTAACTCCTCGGTTGATGCCTTCGCTCATTATCCGTTGCTCAAACAAACATTCTTCGAGCTTTTCTGCATTTCAGATCACGAGAGACTATGCAGAGAGAGCGAGAGTCAAGTCCGATCGCCGTGTATAAGACGAATCCCATTTTTACTATATTTCATAGCCGCTTCCTGTCGGCAGTACGTTTGGAACCTCGTTCGTAATACCCTCAAATGGGTACACCACCTGCTCCTGGCTCCGTGCTTCCGGGCCAATCCTTCTTTCCTCACTCCATGGGCCCAAAGTGGTCCACATAAACAAAGCCTTGTTGAACGTAGGCATCTCTCCCCGTCCCTCATCGTTGTAAATCCCCTCCTCTTTGTCGACTTCCTTTCGCACGTCGCCACGAATTCAAATCGCACGAAGATTGCCGCCAGCGGAATATGCACAACGCCTAATGAATAAAACACAAGAGGGACCCGCGCAAAGGGCAGAACGCTCGACGATGCGGAGCCGTGCCAAATATGGCTGTCACTCGGTAGCGTGGCCACACGCAGGGCGCCGGTCATAGAATCGTAGGTAGATGTTTCGTAGCCTCGGGGTATGATGTTTTCCCCAGGTCGTCAGATTTTTCGTCACGCTTTTGTCTTTTCCTCGTTTCGTTTTTCATGACTCTTTTTCCCTATTTGCTTTTTGCTCCATTACTCACAAGCCATGACCGACTTTTCGGCGCGGGCGCGCATATGCGTTGCATGCGTCTCTAGGCATCGGGCCATCAAATGGGTGACTATGAAGTGGTTAGCAAGGAAACGAGGGGTAGACAGCTTCGGCCAACTCACCTGGCCACACGGCGGCTTTGTCCAGCATGTAAGCCGTGACGCGCAAGACTTTTGCAGCATAGCCCGTATGATCGTCCATCTGTACCGCAGGAACATTGCCATTGACGAGCTCCATATTCATCTTCATCTCAGCAGACGCAAGTACCTCCTGCACCTTGCCGATGAGCTTGACATCCTCCTCTTCCAGCAGCATGATGGCCGGCACCTGCGAAAGGTCAACATCATCCTGGCCGAGGATGCCGAGGTAGCGGCCCACTCGATCCTGGAGCGTGGCAATCCATTCGGCGAGGACTTGAGCACAATCAAACGCACACATGGCCGACTGGAGGGGCAGCTCTTTGCTTGTAAAATCGGCAAATGTCACGCCGAGTTTGTCAGCCATGGCGAGCGAGTCGGCTGCGTAGAAAGCCGCCTTCCGAAGATGCTTTTCCCGGCGCGAGGTAGTACGACTGGATGCCTGAGGCGCCTGCGCTTGGCCGGGAAACTTGGCAGCCGCGAACTCGGGCGAGGCAGACTGCTGCGTGGCAGGTGATTCAACAAACGCGGAGCTCGCGGTTGAGTTGTCTGATGGATCAGTGCCGTTGGACTCTGTGTTGGAGGCAGGAGAGTGCTCAGCATGCTGGATGATCTCGCTGCCCCGCGAAAGTTCCTCGGCCATGGCATCCCAGTCTCGCTGCCAAAACTTCTCTTTAGACCGAGAGAGATTGACAAAGAGGCGCACGTATGCGAGGTCGAGCAGTGGGATTGCATCGGCGGAGAGGGGCCCCAGACCAAAGGGGTTTGGTCGCTCAAGGCTGTGATTCGGGTTACTGGCCCAAGCAGCCTGCCACGCCTTGAGCGCGGGCTCGATGTGGCGGTGCATCTTTTCGGTCTCCTCGTTGGTCCAGACCTTGTTGTGATGACGTTGCCGCGTCTCCCAGATGTAGTTGTGGAGGGCATTAATAAGAATTAGGCAACCAAAAGTTGAGGGCCTGAGATGAGATTCGCTCCCGTTGGAGCCCGAAGGTTGGTTGAAGGCCTTCTGCTGCTTTTCGTTGGTGCGCAGGAGCTCGCCGAGCGACTCGTGAAAAGTTGTGCGGTTATGGTTGGCACTGCGCACGCCTCCCTTAGCCGCAAAGGCGGTGCTGCTCTCGGCGGCAAAGAATTCTTCATCGCAGGGTAGGTCGAGCAAGATCTCCGAATTGGTCAGCGCGGGAGTGTGGTTGTACGCTGTCACCAGCAAACTTGAAAGGATGAAAATGACGTAGAGTGTCCGTTTGCGCTCCTCCATCGTCTTCCATTGCAGCCACTCAACCTGTTCCTCCATATCCGACTTCATGCCGTTCCAGTCTTCACTCATTTGGACCTCAATCTCAGTCGGCTCAACCCGGATGGGTCGGAGAAGGTCAGCAGCCTGAGCAAGGCTCACGAGAGCCGCACAGTGGGTGGAGGCGATGTCGCTGGCCGTCTTGTCACCGCAGTTGTGGCCGTAGACAACGTTGAGTAGCATGGCCTGGACCAGCCAGACGGGCGTGTGCACGGCACTTTCAGGGATTTGTGAGTTCGCATCAGAGCCGGGGGTGCGTCGGAAGTCGGCCTTGCGTACATCGGCCTTGCGACGCTCCTCCAGGTAGAGCTGAATCATCTTCTTCGCCATTTCGAAAAGGTCTCGCGACTGGGTGTGCTCCATCTCGTAGAGAGCTCCGATGGCGGCCATGGAGAGAATCAGACAGCCGCTGCCACCAACGCTGTTAGAACGGCCTGTTGTGGACGAGGACGACATCTCAAATGATAGTGTGGGGATGTGGAGAAAGGGTAGATGAGGATGGAATGACTGCAGGTATGAACCAACATATCGCTGCAGATCCTGCGTGCTGGGCAGACTCTTCACGTGGTCTGGAAGGTTGGAGACGTTCTGGACGCCTGGGGACATGGGCGATCCGGGAGTAGGAAAGGAGTACTTGCGACCACCGAAAGGAGAGCACTGGGACAGAGCGTTCACGATTGCGCCGCGCGTGGCTTCGGTAATGGTTGACACTGGAGAAACGCCATGGTTGCCGCCGTTGAGGGATGAAGGTGTTTCGGGCCCTGTGTTGTAGCTTAGTGCCTGGTTGAGATTTTGCGTGTTCAGGCCCTGTACGAGAGAGGGGCTGAGGGAGCTCATGGAGGGCGGAGGCGTGGAGAAGTAGACGTCGTTGGGCTTTTGTTGGGGTGGCTGCGGCGACATGGGAGCGCCATTCAGCAGGTCCGGAAACACCGAATTGGTCAAATCCATAGAGAAGGGATTGGGGACCTGCGGCGGGCCCATGACGGCGGGCTGCCACATGGATGACGTTGCCGCCGAGACCTGGTGGTTAGACCCATCAAGCATGACATCGCTTATACCGCTGTGACTGTTGGTGCTGTTGGCAGACGGACTTGACCCGTCGACAGCATTGTCGGCACCCTGAAAGGACATTTGATGTTCAAATCCGGTCAGCCAGTCAAAGCTGTCGTCAATGTGCTGCGTGCTGTTCATGTCGTGCATGCTGTCATGCATCTGAGGGATGAAGGGGGACATGGGATCCAGCGCCATTGACTGGGGCGAGTCGTTGTAATGAAGAGCATTCGGGTTGATGGTAGAACCTGGCCCGAACAGTAGGCCTTCGAAGTCAAAGTCTGTATTGAAGGCCATGGGGGGCGCCGTTCTCAAGCCAGAACTAAAGTCCATGTTGTTCATATTATTCATGGCATGAGTCTCGAGCTTTGGCAAGCCGTGCTGAACGCCTCGCTGACCCATGGCGGCTGCCATACCGGTTGACATGCCATTGGGCATGCCATAGCCGTGATCGAGGCCATGCATAGGCAGGTTGGCCAGGCTAGGATGACGGCTGTGGCCATGGGTGGGGGGGATGCCGCGGGCAACCTGTGCGTTGGCAGCTGCCATCATCTGCATGGCGCTGCCGTCAACATGGCTGATGGTGTTGGCCCGCGGGCGCATGGCGGCCTGGGCATTGGCGGCGGCGGCTGCGTGAGGTCCGGCGACGCTGTTCTTGCGAGCTCTGCTCTGTCCGGGCGCGGCGCCACCGCTGGCACTTTCACGCCGAGCACGAGGTCGGGGACGAGGGCGTCGTGGTCTGATGCAACTTTTTGCTGGGGGCGCAGCAACAGGTCGCGACGGGCAAAAGCATCTTGTGCACTCGGGACATTCGAAGGGCTTCCTCCTTTGTGTGGAACCTCTCGTGACGGTTTCAGGGGGCCCCAATCGGGCAAAGGAGCGTTGGACAAGTCGCGCAGACATGAGGGCGAG